GAGCCGAAGTCGGAGCTGGAGCCCCAGCTGCAGCCGCCATGCGCCGTTCGGGGCTCTCCTGCTGCGTGCTCCTGCTAGTCCTGGGGCTCTGCCGGGCGCGCCCCCGGAACGTGCTGCTGCTCCTCGGTGAGTGCCGCCACCCCGGCGCCACCTTCCCACCTGCTGTTGCCTTAGAAGTGGCCACTCGCCCCTCCCCACCATTGGCAGTAGCAGCCTCCACTGCCATTCCCTCCCTCTCTGCTGTCCCCGGACTCTTCATGGGTATCTCCTTAGAGAGTGTGGCAGAGTGCATTCGGCACCCCTGCTTCTGCCCCGCATCCTGTCTGACCCCGCACCCCCACCCGTATCCAGAGCAGTCAGGACTAGCTATGTGGGCCCCAGCTCAAGGTGCTGGACTGCTTTGCAGAGATCAGGGGACCACAAATCCCAGGGGGATGCCAGATGACGAGCTGGTGCCCGAGCCCCCAGAGACTCAGCCAGGCTGCCCTCCTGACTCTCATTTTCTCCTCTTTGTAAGTTTGCCTTAATCTTTTCAGAACCAAAGAGACTATGGCTCAGTGTCTTTTCCCTTGTCCCACACAGCTCCCTCCCACCAGTCACCTCCTCTCTCTCCCAGCCCCAGTCCCCTCTAGAAACCCCAGCTCCTCCAGTGCCTTGCTGTCACAAGACTTCCGGGGTTCGGGTGACCAAAGCCCGTGACATCTGACAAGGCCAAACCCATAGGCCTGCGATTCTTTCCTCTTTTGGGGTCTGGCCTCCTGCCAGGTGTCCTCTTTCTGATTAACTTTGTGGTCTCTGGGCGGGAGTTCAGCTCATTGTAGCATAAACAGCTACGCTGTCAACGCCCCACCTTCCACTGTCCTGTGGCCCGCCGGCTCCGAGCAAGGCCCAGGGTACTGGGTGGTCACGAGGTGGGGGAGGGAGGGTGCCCACCAGAGGCGCCTGCAGAGAATCTCCCAGGACTGGGATTAGTCCTGGAACCATTCAGAGCGCAGGCAGTGCAGGTCCTGTCTTAGATTGGGCTGTCATAACAGTGTACCACAGACTGGATGGCTTAGCCAACAGTTTATTTCTCACAATTCTGGAGCCTGACAGTTCAAGATCAGTGTGCCTGCATGGTTGGGTCCTGGTGAGGGCTCTCTTTCTGGCTTGTAGGTGACTGCCTTTTCACTGTGTTCTTATATGGGTAGGCGGGCATGTGGGGTCTCTTTTTCTTTTCTTCTTTTTCTTTCTTTTTTTTTTTTTGAGTTGGGGGGTCTCACTCTGTTTCCCAGGCAGGAGTGCAGTGGGTGATCACAGCCTTGATCTCCTGAGCTTAGGCGATCCTGCCTCAGCCTCCCGAGTAGCTGAGACTACATGTATGTGCCACTGTGCCTGGCTAATTTTTTTTTTGTATAGGTGAGGTCTCATGATGTTGCCTAGGTTGATTTTCTTTTTTTGAGTTGGAGTCTCACTCTGTCACCCAGGTTGGGGTGCAGTGGCACACTCACGGCCACCCCACTTTCGACCTGGTGGGTTCTGGCGATCCTTCCACCTCAGCCTTCCAAGTAGCTGGAACTACAGGCATGTGCTACCATGCCTGGCTAATTTTTTTTTTTAATTTATTGTAGAGACGAGGTCTCGCCAAGTTGCCTGGGTTGGGACTACCTTTTCTTATAAAGCTACAGTTCTGTTAAGTTAGGGTTCTATCCTTATCACTTCATTTAGCCCTAATTAGGATTCTATCTCCAGATACAGTTTCACTGGGGTTAGGGCCTCAACATATGAATTTTGGAAGGATTTAGTCCTCAGCAGGTCTATAGCCAAGCACTGATACACCTTGAACAGGTTTGGAGAAGAGCAGCTTTTCCTCCTGGCCTCCAGGCAGGATGCATAATCCCAACATCCCACCCACCCTCCTGGCTTGCCTGGCTGCCATGAGGTCACACCCAGTGGGTCTCATGGGTTGGAGGGTGGTAGCCCAACTGCGGGTCGGCCAGCCACCTCTGTTCAAGGACCGCATTGCCTCCGAGAGAACTGGGGGAGGTGTGGGCCTGGAGGTTCCCACCAGCTTCTTCTAGTGCCATTGGTGTCCTCTGCTCCCCGCTGCCCAGTTGTGTGCCCTTGGGTGCTATACCTCACCTCTCTGGGCTTCAGTTGCTTTGTTAGGGTGAAGGGGTTAAATTAGACAATCTGCAAGGCCTTTGGGGATGGGCATCAGTGAGAGGCAGTGGTGGGATGCACACACATAGACCCTCAGATGTGCCCTGGGCATGGTTCTCCTGGCCTCTGTCTCATGCACTTTCCACAGAGCCCAGAATTGCCCAGTTCTCGGTCTGTGTCCATGCACTCAGCCACCGTCTGCTAACATGCACGTTAGCATACCCATCCTGGTAGCATGCCTGCTGGGGTATCTTCAACCTTGCTTGGTATCATGCCTGCCTTAGTATCATGCCCACCTGCTAACATACTCACCCAGGCTTCATGCCTGCTGAGTACCTTGCCTACCTGAGTATCATGCCTGCCTCTCTGGGTATCTTGCCTGCTGGGTACCGTGCCTGCCCAGGTGTCATACTCATGTCATACTCATATGGGTATCATGTTTGCCAAATGTCATGCCCACCTGCTAACGTGTCCTCTGGGTACCACATCTGCCTTATACCCCACTCAGGTGTCGTGCCTCCTGGGTACCAGCACCATGCCCACCCAGGTATCTTGCCCTCCTGGCATCACCAGCCCAAGGCTTTGCAGCACCACCCCAGGCCTCCCACACTCCCACATGCTGCTCCTCCTGACCCCAGCCCACCCTGTCCTGTCTGTCTCCCGCCTTCTTCAGCGGATGACGGAGGCTTTGAGAGTGGTGCATACAACAACAGCGCCATTGCCACCCCACACCTGGATGCCTTGGCCCGCCGCAGCCTCCTCTTCCGCAATGCCTTCACCTCCGTCAGCAGCTGTTCCCCCAGCCGTGCCAGCCTCCTCACCGGCCTGCCCCAGGTGAGGAGAAAGGAGGCAGGAGGAGGGGGTGGGAGTGTGGAGTATCTGGGGTAGGGAGTAGGCAGACCATGTCCGGGGACCCAGGCCTCTGCAGCAGGGTCTCCTCTCCCTCGTCTCCCCTGGGATGTCACCCACTTTCCCTCCCACCCTCAGGGGGAGACACAGCCAAATGGTTGGGGGTACAGACTAGGGGCCCTGACTCCCCACTCGTCAGCCCTGGTATGTGACCTTGAGCAAATAACTTACCTCTCTGTGCTTTAGTTTCCTCATCTGTACAGTGGGGGATATGATAAGACATAACTCATAGGATTTTTAAGGGGATCGGTGGAGCTAATGCTTCATACATAAAACTCTTAGTGCCTCAGGAGTACCTATGGTGGTGGGAGCTGCCGTATTAGTACTCTCTTATTTTATTGTAGAAAAATGCACGTAACATAAAATTTACCATTTGGCCATTTTTTAGATTAGAAATTATAGTTTATTTATAAAGTAAATTAGAAAGAGAGAGAGAAATAGAGGAGATTCACCTCCCCAAGTTAGGGGAGGGGGCCAAAGCTTAAGAAAACATGGCCTGGCCATAGCTCAAAGAGTACATGACCACATGAGAGTCTAATAAGGCAATGGCCCCATGGAACCATTTTTAAGTGTACAGGTCACTTACGATGTTGCATGAAGTACATTCACATTGTTGTGTGACTGTCACCACCAACCTTCTGTCCTCAGAACTTTTCCATCTCCCGACACTGAAGCTCTGTCTTCATTCAACAGCTCCCCACCCCCCACCCTCTAGCCTCTGGCCAGCTTCCTTTCTACTGTGTGTTTCTGAGTTTATCTGCTTAAAGGACCACACATGAGAGGAATCCTGCAATATTTGTGCTTTTGTGCTTTTGTGACAGCATAAGCATAATGATCCCAAGTTTCATCCATGCCGTAACAGGTGTCAGAATTTCCTTCCTTTTTAAAGCTAAATACTATTCTATTGCATGGATAGACCATATTTTGCTTATCTGTTCATCTGTCAGTGGACACCTAGGTTGCTGCCACCCTGTTGGCTGTTGTGAATAATGCTGCTAGGAACATGGGTGTGTGAGGGCACTTACTCTTGATTATCTTAGGATACGACCTTATTGTAAGCAAGGTGCTCTCTCCGTGAGTCCTCCGCTGGGAGGCTGAGACTGAGTAGAAGGCATAGAGACGGGGAAATCATATTCTCAGAGGTCTCCAGAAAGGTTGTCTGGAAACTGTGAGCCACACTTTCTGTGGGGCAGTGGGCTTTGGGATTAGGAGAGGCCTTTCCTTCTCACCTAAAATCTTTCTAGGCCGTCTGGGTTTTTGACATGTACAACAATTTATTTTACAATATGAAATTAACTAAAAAGAGTCCCAGTCCCATCTTTTCTACTCTGTAACCTGTGGTCATAATAGGAAAATTGGGAAGTGCAGATACGCAAAAAAGAAAGAACGTGAAGGCTACCCTAACACTACTGCACATTCCTCCAGCTCCTCTTCTTTCCTGTGGAAGCCCTCCTTTCATGGATGGGGACAGGGGATCACCTATGGGCCAGTCGGGCTAGGGGTGGGAGATAGAGAATGTCTTGGTGGGTACTAATTATGCAGTCCAGTCCCAAAAAGGCCCTGGTGGTAGGAGGACCATGGGAGAGCAGGCGCAAGCAGGTAGGCCCTGGGCTGACGTGTATGCCATCTTTGCTGGCAGCACCAGAACGGAATGTACGGGCTGCACCAGGACGTGCACCACTTCAACTCCTTCGACAAGGTGCGGAGCCTGCCGCAGCTGCTCAGTCAGGCCGGCATTCGCACAGGTGAGGTCCCCGTGCCCAGGGCAAGGTGCAGACCAGAGCTGGGGGTTGGGTGCCTTTCCTGAGCCACCGCCAGCCCCTGTTACCTACCCTCAGCTCTCATCTCAAAGAACCTGGGCCTGGGGCTCCTGGTCGGGCTGTGGGCTCATGAGAACCCAGGACTGGCTGCCCACCCACCATATGCTCAGGACTGAGGGGTAGAGAAGGGGGCAGGGGCAGGGGAGGCTGCAGGGGTTCTTTTCAAGACTCTTCTCTGCCCCAGGCATCATTGGGAAGAAGCACGTGGGGCCAGAGACAGTGTACCCATTTGACTTTGCGTACACGGAGGAAAATGGCTCCGTTCTCCAGGTAGGACGGAATATCACCAGAATTAAGCTGCTTGTTCAGAAATTCCTGCAGACTCAGGATGACAGGTATGAATCAGGGGTCCCGTCCCTTCCCCGCACTCATGCGGCTAGACCTCTCCGCGGCTAAGTCAAGATGCATGCCCCAGAGTGGGATTCTTAGAGTCCCCAAACTACTGCAGTGGGGGTGGAAAAGAAGGTTCCAGATACTCAAATTAGTCTGGTCAGAGGAAGCAGGGACATGGTGAAACTGAGGCAGTGATTGTCTCGAGGAGACTTTCAGATATAGGGGAATATAGTAAAGCCCAGGGTGGTGTACCTGTCTATAGAATGGGCCTCCTCTGGGTAGAAAGTCAAGGCATTGGTCAAACCAGGTGGTGTGTCAGCCCCTTGACCTTGACACTGAAGTTCCTCCCCCCTCACGCACAGGCCTTTCTTCCTCTACGTGGCTTTCCATGACCCTCACCGCTGTGGACACTCCCAGCCCCAGTACGGGGCCTTCTGTGAGAAATTTGGCAATGGGGAGAGCGGCATGGGGCGCATTCCAGACTGGACCCCCCAGACCTACGACCCACAGGATGTCGTGGTAGGAGAGGTTCTTCCCATGTTTCCAGGGACCTGCCCCTCCTGTGAGCTTGCTACCCTTGCCCTAGATGATGGGACATCTGCATGTAAGAATAGATCCTTTGGGCTGGGTGCGGTGGCTCACACCTGTAATCCCAGTGCTTTAGGAGGCCAAGGCAGGAGGATCACTTGAGACTAGGAGTTCAAGATCAGCCTGGGAAATATAGAGAGACTCATCTCTACAAAAAATTTAAAAATTTGCTAGTCTTGGTGGTGCGCACCTATAGTTTCAGCAACTCAGGAGGCTGAGGCAGGAAGATCACTTGAGTCCAGGAATTTGAGGCTGCAGGGAGCCATGCTCACACCACTGCACTCAGCGTGGGTGACAGAGTGACAACCAGTCTCTGACAAAAAAAAAAAGACCCCTGACAACTGGATCCAGGTCCCTACCCATGAGACTGCAGAGGGAACCATAGAGATATGGTGCATCCAGAGTGAAGTGTTTGGGGCTAATCCATTCACAGAAGATGGTTTCAGGCCTCAGGGAGAAGACTGGCACCTCCACCTCCTCCCCCAGGTCAAGGGTTGGCCACCTCTTCCCCGCCTGCCTGTTCTAAGGTTGGCTTTCTACCTGCTTGCCCCTCAGGTGCCTTACTTCGTCCCTGACACCCCAGCAGCCCGAGCTGACCTGGCCGCTCAGTACACCACCATCAGCCGGATGGACCAAGGTGGGCTTCATAGGTCTGGGCGGTGGTGTGCCAAGGCTTGGGTCTCCCACCCTGGGCTAGGCATCTCTCAGTGGGGTCCAGTGTGAGCTAGGTGTGGCCCACTAGCAGCAGAGTGTGAGCAAGGGTCTCAACGCGGAAGGCCCCATGCTAGGGCTGGGTGGAGCCCCCATTCAGAGAAGGAGACAGGCATGGTCTAGATACATGACAGCTCCATCCTGTAGGTGACATCAGGATTCACTCCTGGGCCTACCTTGATGTGGAATTGGTCCTGAACCAGATCCTTTGGGTGCCTCCCCAGGTGGGGTGAAGACTTTAAGTACTTCTGGCAATGGGATCTGGGTCAGATTTGGGGTTTTAGAGTCCCTAGGTTATGCAGATGTAGAACTTGAGGGTCTTGTTAGTCTTTTGTGGCTACCATAATGAGGTACCCCAAGCTGGGAGGCTTAAAACAACAGAAATGTGCACTCTCACAGTTTTGGAGCCCGGAAACCTGAAATCAAGGTGTTGGTAGGGCCACACTCCCTCCAGAGGTCTAGGAAGGGTCCTTCTTTCCTCTTCCAGCTCCTGGGGCTGCAGCAGTGCTTATGTTCCTGGGCTGGTGGTAGCATCATTCCAGTCTCTACCTGTGTCTTCACATGGCCTTCTTTCCTGTGTGTCTTCTCTTGTGTCTATGTCTCCTCTTCTCATAAAGACTCTTTTCATTGGATTTAGGGTTCACGTGGGGACTTCAGGATGATCTTGTCCCAAGCTCTTTAACTTAATTATATCTGCAAACTCTCTTTTTCCAAATAAGGTCACATTTGCAGGTGCTGGTGGACACATCTTGTGGGGATGGGGGGGGCACCATTCAACTCACTACAGGAGTTTGGTACCTTTACCATTTCCCTGTAGATCCCATTAATTCTTGGTGACCTGGAAAGAGGGTGGGTATAGAGGAAATCCTATCTTCCAGCTCCTGCCCAAGTCTGTTCCTCCTTGCTCCTTGGGATAGACATGGATTCCAGAACACACAAACCAGTGTAGGGCAGATAGCAGCCACGTGGGGGTGACACAGAAGTACCAAGGGATGACTAGGGTCCTCGGAGGTCTACACAAGGTCTGCTCAGGGGTGGGGAGCTGGGCAACAGACCAGGGCTGGTAGGAAGAACTGCAGGGGTATCTTAAGGTCCAGAAAATGCTAGAGTCCAGTGGCTGTATGAAGACATGGGTGAGTTCACACAGGTTCCTGTGTCTCCGCGAATGTCTGTGACTGAACTCTGCTTCCCACCCTACCCTACAGGGATTGGACTTGTGCTCCAGGAGCTGCATGGAGCAGGTGTCCTGAACGACACCCTGGTGATCTTCACGTCCGACAATGGGATCCCCTTCCCCAGTGGCAGGACCAACTTATACTGGCCGGGGACTGCCGAGCCCTTGCTGGTGTCATCCCCAGAGCACCCAAAACGCTGGGGCCAAGTCAGTGAGGCCTACGTGAGCCTCCTAGGTATGGCTCTGTCTGTCTCACACAGGGGAGGGAAGTGGACACGTGATGGATCTACCACGTGCCAGAGGTTGCTTTATGCCTGTTATCTGACATGGTTCTCACACCACCTGGGCGAGGAAGGGACAGTCACCTCCATTCCACAGATGAAAAGAATGGGGCTCAGAGAGGTGAAGTAAGCTGCCCATGGTCACACAGCTTATAAGCACCAAGCTAGGATTCTAGCCTGGGTCTAGGAAGCCGTTGCCTTTTCCGGTATACTATAGATGAGCTTCAGAATCACGCGGGATGCTTGTTACTATCCAAATTGCAATCCCCGGAGTGTCTGATTCAGTAGATTGGGTTGGGGCTCAAGAATTTGCATGTCTGACAAGTTCCCAGGTGATACCAATACTGTGGACCTGGGAACCCCTTCTGTGAGCATCCGTCCTATCACATCTTCCCAGGGGACTCAGAGCACCTCCTGGTCCTGCTTATGTCTAGGGTGGCCTGAGGATGTCTAGTGCCACATTATAGGTGAGCAGACAAAACTATAGGTGCAGGGAGACTTTGTGAGGGGCTCAAGGTAAATCCCACTGCCCAGGGCAGAAGCTTGCTGAGCCTTCTCACTACCCACAGAACCTCCTGGAAGGGAGGGCTTTGGGGTAGCAATATACTTTATTTCCCTCCAGCCTGGGGCCCACTTCTCTCTTTGGCTCCAAACCGCAAGCTGCGAGTGCTGGGGCCACACCACAGAGCAGGAATAGATGAGACCTCCTGACACGGGGGACTTCCTTTCTGGACCATAGGATTTAAGTTTTTTATTTTTTACTGGAGTCTCACTCTGTCGCCCTGACTGGAGTGCAGTGACATGCTCATGGCCAACCCAGCGTTGACCTGCTACTGAGCTCCAGCGATCCTTCCAGCTCAGCCTTCCAAATAGCCGGAACTACAGGCATGTGCTACCACGCCCAGCTAATTTTTGATTTATTGTAGAGACACGGTCTCACCAAGTTACCTGGGCTGGTCTCAAACCTGTGGGCTCAGGCAATTCACTCGGCTCGGCCTCCCAAAGTGCTGGGATTACAGGCTGAGCCACCCGAGCCCGGTGGATGTTAGAAGGATCCTAAATATCACCAAGTTATACCATGAAAGGCATCACGGCCCAGAGAGATGACGTGGTAGTGAGAGGTGTTGGCCCAAAGCAGCTCCTTCCACTGGGGGTTCGATGGGATGAGGTAGCCCACCAGCCTCCCAGAGCGGGCTCCTGTGCCCCAAGGACCCCACCACACTGAGACTCCACTTCCCTTCCAGACCTCACGCCCACCATTTTGGATTGGTTCTCCATCCCATACCCCAGCTACACCATCTTTGGCTCGAAGACCGTCCGGCTCACAGGCCGGTCTCTCCTGCCAGCGCTGGAGGCCGAGCCTCTCTGGGACACCGTCTTCGGCAGCCAGAGCCACCACGAGGTCACCATGTCCTACCCCATGCGCTCCGTGCACCACCAGAACTTCCGCCTCGTGCACAACCTCAACTTCAAGATGCCGTTTCCCATCGACCAGGACTTCTACATCTCACCCACCTTCCAGGACCTCCTGAATCGCACCACAACTGGCAGGCCCACGGGCTGGTACAAGGACCTCCGGCTCTACTACTACCGGGAGCGCTGGGAGCTCTACGACCAGAGCTGGGACCCCCATGAGACCCGGAACCTGGCCACCGACCCGCGCTTTGCCACGATTCTGGAGACGCTTCGGGCCCAGCTGGCCAAGTGGCAGTGGGAGACCCATGACCCCTGGGTGTGCGCCCCTGATGGCGTCTTGGAGGAGAAGCTCTCTCCCCAGTGCTGGCCCCTTCACAACGATCTGTGACAGCCCCTGGAGGCGCCTGTCTTCCCATCCTGGACATGCCCCATCACTTTCACAGCTGTCTTGGGCTGCCTTCTCAGCTGGCAGTGGAGGAAGGGAGCCACCCTAGGGAACAGTGATGGCAGCCTTTCCCTCTACACTCCCTTCTTTTTTTTTTTTTGAGTTGGAGTCTCTGTCACCCAGACTGGAGTGCAGCGGCTGCTCCCAGCCACCACAGCCTCGACCTGCTGGGCTTTGGCGATCCTTCCGCCTCAACCTTCCAAGGAGCCGGAATTACAGGCATACTACCATGCCCGCTGATTTTTTGATTTATTGTAGAGATGAGGTCTCGCCAAGTTGCCCAGGCAGGTCTCGAACCCGCGGGCTCAGGCAATCCACTCACCTCAGCCCCCCAAAGGCGCGGGATTATAGGCTGAGCCACCTAGCCAGGCTATCCCACAGTATTTCTGAGCCCTTTACTATGAGTGGGGTGGGGTGGGGTGTTGGAAGGTCCCAGCCACACTGACTGTGGAGCACAGCACCTGGCTCTTCCCAGTCCCTGGTCTAGAGGAAGTCTTTGAATGCCCCTCGGGCCTGTTGCTACTTTCTCTGTCTTGCCCCAAGGTCAAGCACCTGGCCCTAAGTGGGGTGCCCACTGATGGGTGGCAGGCTCCCTGGGGGATGAGTGTGATCCTGTGGTCTTTCTGGGCAAAGCTCTTCCTTCTTTTAGAGTCCAGGTCACTCCAGAGATAAGGTGTGAGGACACCCCCGTCCTCCAGCTTGGGTGAATTCTCCTTAGTGGCACCAGCATGGCTCAGAGAATGTGCCATTCCTGCTCTGCCCCCAGCCCCACAGGGGCAGAAGCCTGGTCTGGAAAAGCCTAGAAGAGAGAGGGCTCTTTTCCTTAAGTGGGTGGGCTCCCCTTCCCTCCCCCATCAGCTCCATCCTGGGGGGACAGGGGAAGCCACAGGCTACAGTATTATAAAAGCTTTTTTTTTTTTTTTTTAGTAAAATATACAGAAATTCACTTTCTGGACATTTATGATAATACCAATCTGAATTCTAGAACAACTTCCTGATGTGCAGACTGCTGTCAAAATGACACGCAGTCCATAGTCCCTGGAGACAGGAGGCAAAGCCAGGTGGTGAGGGGAAACTGGGGTCCTCCCTGGGCTGTGCCTGGGTGGCCTCCAGGCCCTGGAGGTGGGGGGAAGATGCTTGGCCCCAAGAGAGGGCTGGGGTGTGATGCCAGATCAGAGGAGGCAGAGTTCACTGGGTCTTATACAGGGTGTCTATGCCAGACTTCTCCACCGGTCCCTGGACTGTACATGGAGACCACCAGACACAGACCCACTGAAAATACTGTTTCCATCACCAAGAAACTCTATTTACATGTAAACTAGACTTACTGAAGCATCTGTCAGCCATCAAGAGCTGAGAAAAGCCAACCTGGGTTCTAGCATACAGGGACTATGCCTTTGCCCTGGTCAGGGGTGGCAGTAACTTAGGGGAGGCCCAGGGTTCCCCATCTCTGCCTCTGAAGGCTTGGAATGAGCCCTTGGACACGTTGAAATGTAAATGGGAAGTGCAGCCTCCATGGTTTGGATCCAGCCTGCAGATAAGTGGTTTTCTCGAGAGGTCTAGGGCCTCCAGCTCTGGGGAGGGTGTGGGAAGACCCCTCCCCCACCCCCACCCCCACTGCAGAAATGTTCTCTGGTCTCTGGTTCAGAGCATGCCAAGCCCTGGTGAAGGGTGGAGATGGTTTCCATAGAAAAGTGAGCAGATACTTCACCGTGTATGGCCTGCACATGGTGAGAATTCAAGGTTAGCTCCCAGCCAGAGAGGGAGAGCTGGCCTTGTGTGCTGAGCATCTCATAGTTGTGCCCAGGGGCACATGGACTGAACAGGCACAAGAAGGTCCCCATAGCCATGGGAAGGGATGCAGAGGGGACATCAGCAAAGGCTCTGCTCTGCCCACACCACCTTCTTCTGCTCGTCCGTGATGACCAGGCGGACACAGCCAAGCAGGCCGTCCAGGTCGCTCCAGCTGTCAGGAGCCAGGCTGCTGTACAGACAGGGCGCTCTGTCCAGGTCTCCCTCCTCCTGCCTGGCTGCCTCCAGGAGCTGCTCCTCTGACGTGCCCAGCCGCTGCAAGCCCTTCCTGTGGGCCAGAGAGGGGGGCAGGCTCAGGGGAGGGCAAGAGCCAACAGGAAAGTGGCCACTGGGCTGGATCCCCGGTCAGAGAGACAGATAACACAGCATCTGCCCAAACACCCCTGGGCGCAGGGATCCTGCTTCAAGGGGACCTTGTAAAGAAGATAGGACCCAGGCCCAAGTGACATTGCATGGATAGGGGGCAGTTTGTTGAGAATACAGCCTTACTTCTTGGATTATAAAGGGTATGGTAGCAGGACATCTTGGTCGGTCCACAGCCATAAACCAAGTTATGACATTCAACCTGTTTTTGTCTTCAGCCAACACGGATTCTATTGCATTAACTGAGGTTGCAGGGCCTGGGCTGCTTCTGGGGGAGAATGGCTGAACCTTAGTCCCGAAATTATGCTGTTAGTGCTTCTGGTTCCTGAAAGCCCCACAAGCACACCCAGAGGCATACGCTGTCATGGGCTTCCTGGGGCGTTCAGGCACCCGTGCAGACCCCTACTACCCAGCCCCAGCATGCACCTACTTGAGTTTCCTTGCCATCTTCTCATTGACAGAGACATGGATCACGATGGGGAAAATCTCCATCCTGTGCAGGGCACAGACACTGTCCAGGCGGACGTCCAGGAGGGCGTGGGTGTTCTTGTGGGGAGAGAAGTGAGTCAAGATCACAAGTCTTGGAGGAAGCAAAAACAGCCCATGCTCTGGGCTAGAAGGTTCATTTTAGACTGGAACCAGGACCAGACAAAGCTGAATTTTGTAAAGGAGATGGAGAAGTGAGCTTATCACTTTCTGCATGAGGGTGCTTACTATACAGTCTTAAGAGTTTCAGCCGGGCTCGGTGGCTCAGCCTGTAATCCTGCGCCTTTGGGAGGCTGAGGTGAGTGGATTGCCTGAGCCTGCAGGTTCAAGACCCACCTGGGCAACTTGGCGAGACATCATCTCTACAATAAATCAAAAATCAGCCGGGCGTGGTAGTGCATGCCTGTAATTCCGGCTACTTAGAAGGCTGAGGCGGAAGGATCGCCGTAGCCCAGGAGGTCAAGGCTACGGTGGCCGGAAGCGGCCACTGCACTTCAGTCTGGGTGACAGAGTGAGACTCCAACTCAAAAAAAAAAAAAAAAAAAGAGTTTCCATCCGTTTGATTTTTCTTTACAAAATTATTTTCTTTTTTTTGAGCCTCCTGAGTAGCTGGGACTCCAGAGGCATGCCACCAGACCCAGCTAAATTTTTAAAACTTTTTTGTTGAGGTAGGGTCTCCCTATGTTGCCAGGCTGGTCTCAAACTTCTAGTCTCAATTGATCCTCCTGCCTTGGTCTCCCAAAGTGTTAGGATTGATTATAGGGGTGAGCCATAGCATCCAGCCCATTTGATTTTTCACCTGGAAAATTCAGAAAAAGCAAGCCTTTGGGATTGAGGTAGACTTTGCATGGAGTTCTGTCAACCTCCATGGGAGGAAAGTGGGTGGGAGGGGCGGGCCTGGGCACCCACCACTGCTTCCCATGCGTTGTACAAATATACAGCTTTATAGTTCAGTGAGCTGCTTTTCATAGACGTGTTTGAGGCTTCAAACATGGAGAATGTTATCTCCATTTTATTTATTCACTAACAAATATCGATCAAACATCTCCTGAGTTGCGGAAACTGAGGCTTAAGGAGTTAGAAGGCTCGCCCAAGAACACACAAACCCTAACTGGCAGGTTTGGGCTGCCGCTGAGGTGTCAGGCTGGAGGTGGGTGACAGGAGTTGCTCAGGTCAATCCTCCCATCTTTATCCCATCACCCTCCTCCGCATTCCCCAAGTCCCCTAACAGCCTAAGACAGAAACTGCCACCCCCAGAGCAGCCCCCAGGCCCCCTCCTCACCTTTTCCATGAGGGACTCTACAGCATGGCGGGTCACCCAGCAGTGGCCACCAGACCCCTCTCCCTCTTGGATGATGTCCCCTCTCTGCCTCCAGGCTTCATACTCCTCCTGGCTCAAGTACTCTGGAGGTGACATCAGACTGGCCGTCACACACCCAGCTGCACAGGGGACCCAAGGGAACTCCATGCTGGACACCCCTAGCCCTAGGGACCCCCACCCCTCGCCCTAAGATAAGCTCTTCTTAGGTCATCCACTTTATGAACCTGACCCTGCTCTTCCCACCTGGGGGGAATCTGTGCTCTGCACCTTATCTGGACATAGAAGGTGCCAGTCAGTGTCAGGATGTGGAAAGGGAGGAGGAATGGAGGGAAGGATAGAAGGAGGGATGGGTGAGTGGATGGATGGGTAGATGGATGTGGGTAGATGGATGTGGGTAGATAGGGCCCGCCCCCGTCACTTCCCCAAGCTCCAGACTTATACATCCAGCTTCTTACACCTAGAAATCCCTTTGGTCCTTAAGTCATTGTTTCTCATCCAGTGGCAGTTTTGTTCCCCAGGGAACACTTGGCAATGTCTGGAGACATTTTCGGTTGTCACAACTGGAGGCAAGTGCCACAGCATCTAGTGGGTTGAGGCCAGGGCTGTCACTCAATGCCCTGCAATGCTCAGGGCAGCCCCCACAACAGACAGTGATCCGACCAGAATCCCACAGTACTCAAGTTCCTCTAAATCCATCAGCCTCCTGCTCTTTGTCTTTCTTCCTGAACAGCTGCTCTTGGTTCTGGCCAATCAGGCCCCAGGTCAGAACTCATGTGTCCTATCCCTCTTTGCCCTCTCTGCCCTCCAGAGCACCTGATCCTGGCGACCCCAGCCCAGACGCAGCTCTGGGGCTCCTGCTCTGCTCCCCATTGCTGCTGTGCTCTGTCCACACCACCTCTGGCCCAAGGATCTCAAGCCCCTAGCCAAGCCCTTCTTCAGTCCATCGTCCATTCTGCTTTCAAAACAGATGTTAAGGGGCCAAACCTGATCACGTCTTTTCTTTGAGTGTCAAGTTCCGGATCCTCCCCTTCCCCTCTAAGAAATCCATCGCTTCCTCTCTGGGACACTTCTGGAGCTTGCATCATTTCTGCATTAGCTTACTCCACCAGCCTGCCCTGTCTTCCGGTTTCTACAGCAGCAGATGGGCCACTTGAGGGCCTCTCAATATGTCCAGCTCACCCGCAGAGCCTGGCACACAGTAGGTGCTTACTAGAGGAGCCAGATGTACTGTGCTTGCTTCCTTGATGAACTTTAAGAGGGTAGGAGAGGGTCTCGTTCACTCCCAGACTGTAACTCAGCACCTCTCAGCCAGTGGAGAGCCTTTCCTGCTGAGCAGAGACACTCAGCCTGCATTCATGGACATGACTGGTGCCATGAGTCCCTGCTGAGTGACTTTCAGTGGGTGGATGGTGCCCCTCAGCTGTGCACCTCAGTTAAGCACACACCTGTTTGCCAACCGTGACCTCAGAATGCGAACTTATTTGGAAAAGGGACTTTGCAGAGGTCATTAGTTGAAATAAGGGCATACAGGATTAGGTTGGGTCCCAAATCTGATGACTGGTGTCCTCATAAGAAGGTCATATGGGCCGGGCACATTGGCTCAAGCCTGTAATCCCAGCACTTTGGGAGGCTGAGGTGAGGGGATTGCCTGAGCCCACGAGTTCGAGAACAGCCTGGGCAACTTGGCGAGACCTCACCTCTACAATAAATCAAAAAATTAGCCAGGCATGGTAGTGTGTGCCTGTAGTTCCAGCTACTTGGAAGGCTGAGGCGGAAGGGTTGCCTGAGCCGAGTAGGTTGACGCTGGGGTGGCTCTGAGCATACCACTGCACTCCAGCCTGGGCGATGGAGTGAGACTCTGATTTAAAAAAAAAAAAAAAAAAAAAAGGAAGGCCATGTGAAGACCCAGACACACTGAAGAAGAAAAAAGGCCTGAATGACAAAGGCTGGGATTAAAGGAACACCAAGGAATGCCAGCAACCCCCAAGAAGCTGGAACAGACAAGAAGGACCCTCCCCCTAGAGCCTTGATTTCCAACTTCTGCCCTCCACAATAGTGAGAGAAGAAATCCCTGCTGTCTTAAGCCCCTAGTTGTGGTCATTTGTTTCGCCAGCCCTAGGAGACTCCTACAGCAACCTTTTGGTCACTCTCCCCAGCTCTGCCTGCACCTCATCCACCAGCTTTGCCTTGCCCACCAACCTTGCCTGGCAGACAGATGGGATTCCCAGGTGAGCACGCACCTGCCAGGCACTTCTTAAACCCCTGGAGGAGGCACAGCTTCTCACTCAGGATCTTCCCAACCAGCCTGGGCACGAATAGCACAGGCCGGGGCCGAGTGGGCCTGTGGGGGTGCACCAGGGTGTAGGGTACCAGGGTGACGCAGCTCTCGGCCCAGAAGCACATAGTGGAGGAGTCTGTGAAAGAAAGGAGCTGTGAGTGGCCAGCACAGGGCTACAGCAGCCCCTAGCCATCCCATCCTGAGTCTAGGAGGGACTCAGGTCTGCTTTGCTCATGGCCGCAGGCCCAGTACCTAGAATAGAAGGAGACACAGGCTCAGCTGTGACACAGTCAGTTATATATCCTGTAACCTCTGACTGGACGGGTCTTTGTACCGGTTGATTAAATAGCTCCATGGCTTTGCAGGCTGCAGTTTAACCCTGCTTTCCTTGAGAAGGTAGAGGAAGTCAAGGTTTTCTTTCTTCCAAAAGATCTGCCAGAGCCTGCACTCCCAATGCCCAGGCTCCCTAGTTCTCCCTCCATGCTGGGCCCCTGCACCCCTCTCCCGAGTTATTTATGTTGCTTTTCTGTTGTTTTTTTTTTTTTGAGTTGGAGTCTCACTCTGTCACCCAGACTGGAGTGCAGTGGCCACTCCCGGCCACCGCAGCCTCGACCTGCTGGGCTCTGGCAATCCTTCCACCTCAGGCTTCCGAGTAGCTGGAACTACAGGTATACGCTACCACGCCCGGCTCATTTTGATTTATTGTAGAGATGAGGTCTCGCCAAGTTGCCCAGGCGGGTCTCAAACCCGCGGTCTCAGGCAATCCACTCACCTCAGCCTCCCAAAGGTGCGGGATTACAGGCTGAGCCACCGAACCCAGCTGCTTTTCTGTTTTCAAGAGCCATCTTATATTATACACTCAGGATTCAAGAAGGAGAAAATGGACTCAGCTTGATTTGCCTTACTCTAAATCCACCCTGATCATCTTCTTTGTGCAGTCTGACCTGTCAGATGCTCACCTGTCACCTGCTATTCTGACTTCCACCACGACCTCCTGCACATGCTGTCACTTAGTCCTCTCTCAAGGTCTACTGATTTGTCTAATGTCGGGCATTTGGATAGTTTTCAAGTTGTTTACTAGTCCTATTAGACTGATGTCCATGCAGTTTTACTGGTAGCGTCTGGACTATTGTATTAGGTAGATCACAGAAATAGGAACATTGGTTCATGGGACATTAAAGTCATGTAGCTCAATTGCTCTCCAGAAAGACATGTGAATGTCCATCAGGATTCTTAAAAAGCAGATCCTGGCCTAAATAAGTGGCATCCCCCCGACACAGCTGACCAACCAGCAGCCGCTGCCAAAGCCCTTCACCCATGTGGAGCCGGCGACCCCTGCACCAGCTCACCAGACCTCACCTTCCAGCTTGCTGGGTTCCAACTGGCCCCTGTCAAAGGATGAACACAGAGGACTGGCCTTGGCTTTGTCCATACTGATGATGCGGACCAGCTTCTGTGGTCCTCCAGAAGACTGCTGAAGGAGGGACGGGAGAAGGAACAAGGAGTTGTTGACACAATCAACACAGGTCTGTGGGCCTGGCAACCCCCTGCCCTGATAGCCATTCCAGAAGCAAATCCCATGTGGCCCCTGCACCATCAGACTGTGCCCACTAAACAGCCAGGATGCCCGGGTCCCCTGCAGGGGGTGGGAGCAGGAGGGTGTCCTCGGGCAGATAGCACCCAAGCAGGGCTCTGCAGTGAGGGGCAGCTGCAAAAGGAAGAGGAAAAGCAAGGGTCCCCCTGCGGGCTAGTCCTGCATGATCTGGGGAGAACCATCCCAGCACACTGCCCAGGGACAGCTGGGTACTCAGTAGTCGGCAGCCTGCAAAGTGTCCTGTGTCTGGTGAGCACAAAGACACCTGTCGCAGAGGATCAGGAATTCAGGGGGACCCGGGAGGATGATGCAGAGACCCAGCTGCTTTCGGGAGCAGCAGGGGACATGTCTAAATCCGTACAAGAGCCTGTAGGCAGGATCAGGGTTGCAGACCCCGCAAAGGTTTGGAAGCCCCGGGAAAGAGAACAGGCTGAGCCAGCCCCCTCGGATCAGCAGGCCACACTCTCCACATGGGCCCCCACTCCACCAGAGCCCATTCCTCTTCCAGCCCACTCCAGGTGGGGCCAGCACCCTTACCAGAGCCTTACCTTGCGAGTGACAGCACACTGCTGAGTCATGTCCTGGATGAGGGCTATGAGCTGTTGCTGGGCCCTGCATAGACAAGGAGAGGCCCTGACCCAGCTGCCGGAGCTACCCCATACCAGGAGAACCAGGCAGGAGAGGCGGTTCTTCACTGGACACTCCAGACATCCCATAGCACCAGGCAGGGGTACTGCATCCTGGTGGCTATCACAGTTCCCAGGGCTTTCAAAAGACTCCAAAGTCTCAGACCACCTTTAGAGATGCTGATTGAATCTCCCTGGGGTAGGACCCAGGGAACTTCCATGAGTAGCCAGTCCAGAACTCCACTCCAGAACCTCACTACGCACAGGGGGTTCACAGCCTCCACCTGACATCACTAAGACAGCATGGTGGAAATGCAGAATCGTAGGCCCCTCCTTGGACCTGCTGAAGCTGATCCCCGGGGACCTGGATTTGCCAGAAGGGCCGAGAGGTGCTGAGCTAGAACACCCAGGCTTTCTGTGCACTGTGGTTTTGTGCACTGGAACCTTGACGGTCTCCACAGATTGATCTAGAACAATGGTTTTCCACAAGGCAGGAGCGGGTGGTGTTGCCCCTGGGAAGGGTGATCAGCTGTCCCAGTTTGCTTGGGACTGAGGGGTTTCCCTGGATATGGGGCTTTCAGTACTAAAATGGAGACAGTCCTGGAAAAACCAGGATGATTGGTCACCCTACTCCAGGGACCCATGGGGATGTGTGGAGATATTTGGTTGTCACACTGGGGCATGGACATGCCACTGGCATCCGTGGGTGGAGAGGCTTAGGATAGCCCCACCACAAAGGGTGATCCAGCCCAGATGTCAGTAGTACTAAGGTTGAGAAACCCCCATCTATAATGCTCTAGAGTGAACTGAGGTCCATCTGTTTTCAAGAGCTAAAGCACCTGTCCCAAAGAAACCGCATTCTCAGCAGTGATCTTGATAGGTTCCCTTGTTAGGGGTATCTCATTACTCCTACCCTGTATTCCGATGCAGTGGGCCCAGTGGGAGGGGAGGGAAGCTTCCAGAAGTCCACTGCTTCCTTCCAGGCAGAGGAGGTGCTTCACGTGGAGGCAGGCCAGGCACTGATACCCTGTGGGCTCTCTAGGGACATGCCACGCTCGTGACAGCTGCTCACCTGGAGTAGTTGGGGATGGTACCATGTACCGTGGTGTCCTTCATGGTGTAAGGGCTCAGGCGGTGGGCGTGCCAGCAGCTGCGGCCCTGGAACATGGTGTCAGTGACGTGTAGGACCTCGTTGCAATGCACCTGCAGCTCCCCCTCTGTCCTCCCCTCTAGGGCCAGGTTGACCCGGATGTAAAACGAGTCCCCCGAGGTCGCCACTTTGGCCTCCAGGTCCTGGACCAGCTTCTTGTAACCTGATAAAAGGGGACATGAGCAACAGATGAGCTGGGGCTGTGAGCCCACGTGAGAAAGGTTCTAGAACATGAAAGGAGGGAAAGAAGGACCCTCCCCAGTCTTGGAAGCCACCCTGGGGCTAGAGTCAGGGATGGGAGGTTTCCAGTTGCCTTGGGAGCCCCCAGGCCCTTGGGGCACAGTCTGACTTAGTATCAGAACAGTGATACTCCTGGGCCCCTGAGTGCTGGGCCTGCGGCACAGTCAGGGGACTGGCGGGTCAAGGAGATGGGACTGGGTAGCTGAGCGTGAGAGAGGCGCGTCATGTATACCCTCCATGTTGACCTTCACGGATAGGCAGCAAAAGCCGTTCACCCTCCTGAGAAGCCCAATGGCCTGCTCCAGGGTCATGTCCTCCAGGACAGCCTTGAACAAGGGCTCTGTGGCCTCGTAATCAACCTGAGGGCAAATCACAAGGGTCGGCCTCTTTCCTTCAGAGCTCAGGATACAGGAATGTTGGGGACAGGTACTGAGGGGTGGGTGCATGGCAACCCTACAGGAGGACTGGCTGACCCTTCCCAGTCACCTGTGTGCCTTGGCAAAACAAAACTGCCCCACCAGAGCCTTTGTCACAGGTCTCATATCAGAACAGAGATGCAGTGTCTTCAGGCTTTAAGCGATACATATTACACATGTTCCCAGCCAGAAAGTCAATTGTCAGCCCTTCCCCAACACTTCTACTGCTGAGGATAGAGTTTGTGATAGGCACTTTCCTCTCTTGGAAAAAAAAAAATGGACCTCAGTTCTAGAACATTCTAGAGCATTCTGGATTGGAGTTTCTCAGACTTAGGACGACTAATATTTGCGATCATTCCATGTTGTAGGGGTTGTCCTGGGCCCTGCAGCATGTTGAGGAGCTTCCCTGGCCTTCATTCTCTGGATGCCATAGCAGGGCCCTCCCCAGCTGTAAGGCCCACCCTAAGGATATCCCCTGTTCACTTCATTCCTTCCATATGCTGTTCTAAGTTTAGGAGAGTATATATTTTTTACAATGAACAAAAATCAAGACATGTTTTAACATTGTTAGAACCGAACTAGCCCCGTTGGGATATGGGGACTGTCTCCCTGAATTCCATAAAGGAAGTCTGTGGCTTTAGCCACCATGTAAGTCAATGACTGGGAACCTTAAGAGGGTGGTTTAGAAATGTAATGCCGGCTGGGCTTGGTGGCTCAACCTGTAATCCCGCGCCTTTGGGAGGCTGAGGTGAGTGGATTGCCTGAGCCCGTGGGTTCAAGACCAGCCTGGGCAGCGAGACCTCATCTCTACAATAAATCAAAAAATCAGCTGGGCGTGGTAGCGCATGCCTGTAATTCCGGCTACTCGGAAGGCTGAGGCGGAAGGATCGCCGGAGCCCAGCAGGTCGAGGCTGTGGTGGCTGGGAGTGGCCACTGCACTCTAGTCTGGGTGACAGGGTGAGACTCCAACTCAAAAAAAAAAAAAAGAAATGTAATGCCTGTGCCTGTAATCCCAGTACTTGGGGAAGTCAAGGTGAGAGGACTGCCTGAGCCTAGGAGTTCAAGATCAGTTTGGGCAACATGGCGAGACCTTGTCACTACAACAAATCAAAAAATTAGCTGGGCATGGAGGTGCACGCCTGTAGTCCCAGCTACTTGGGAAGCTGAGGAAGGAGGATAGCCTGAGTTTAGCAGGTTCAGGCTGTGGTAGCTGTGAGCATGCTAATGCACTCCAGTTTGGGTGACAGGATGAGACTCCAAAAAAAAAAAAAAAAAAAAAAGCAATGAAGGGCTTTCTGTGTCACATGGAGTGGAGAATATGGGATGACACTTAGATTAGGAGCTTGATGCGTGGATTGTTCAAGCCCTAAGGAAGCTCAATATGTGGACAGGCTGTTCCCAGAGGGAAGCCGGGGAAGCTCACAGCACACTCCTGCCCAAGGGCTCAGTCTACTCTCCCCGTCTTCTCTGCACTCACGTTCATGTCCCACCCACCCCCCATTCCCAGTTCCCCCTTGGGACAGTGAGGTGGGCCTCTGGGATGAGGTGAAGTCCATCTTGCACGTTTCCTCTTTTCTTCTACTGCTTTCTTCTTTTTCTTCTTGTTAATTAGCTTAGTATGCTTTTTTCCCCCTGTCTTTTCTTTCTGGGTCTCGCTCTGTCACCTAGCCTGGAGTGCTGTGGTGTGATCATAGCTCACTGCAATCTGGAATTCCCAACCTTAAGTGATCCTTCTGCTTCAGCCTCCCAAGTAGCTGGGACTACAGGTATGCACCACCACGCCCAGAGGTATTTTTTTACAAACTTGAAGTTTAGCAATTCTGCTTTTAGGCCACATCAAAGTCACCCTCCCAGCCCACACATTCACTTTATAATAATTAGTTAGGTGGTATATTTACTTTTGTCTTCTCTGCAATTTTGTGCAATTTACAGCAAAAAAAAAGTTTTGGAAAATGCTCCCAGTGGTTAAAATAGTAAATTTTATGTCATATGTATTTTATCTCACACACACACACACACACACACACACACACACACACACGCACGCATACACACACACGCGCACCCAAAATGATAAGATCATCATGGTTAAAAAAAAAAAAAAGTCCCCACTTCAGAACAGTCCTGTCAAGAGTCCTGTCCAAGGATCCCTGTCAGAAGTGCTACCACATCACAGCAGCCTCCCAGGTGACATCCTGCCAGCTTCCAAACTCCCAGGTTCCAGAATCAGGTTTGGGAAGGTTGCTGGGCCTCCTCTCAACATGCTTTTCTTCTATAAATGAGCAGAATTCTCGACACCCCAGAAAAGGACACTGACTGAGCCCCATGTGGATCTGTGTCATCTGTGGGACCTGAAGGCTCCTGTCACCCCCCCCACTGCTGACCCCCACGCGAAGGCTGGGGGCCAGAGGGACCTCACTCACCATCACAATCTGGGTGCCCGGGCGCAAGGCCATCTGATCCGCCGCTGAGCCCAGGGTGACTCGATGGATGAAGATGCCTGTGAGGTTCCCACCAATGACACTGATCTGCTCCAGCAAAGCGTCCCCCTGGAATGCCAGCACCGTGACCTGGCTCAGGATTCTGCGGGCTGGCCTCCGCCGCACGGGGATGCCACTGCAGGCCGGGAGAGGACCCGCTTAAGCACTGCCCAAAGCAGAAGAGCGGACGCCTCCCCATGGCCCTCCTCTGGCTCCAGAATTCTGGAATTCTCCTCCCCCTCCGTGGCTCCATCTGCTTGGAAAGGCTGCTGCCTCCCAACGGTGACAGTCACACTCTGCTCTGCTACCTCCTGGCTTTTGTTCCCCAGAGGGTCCTCCAGCCACCGCTCACCTTTCCAAGATGTCGAGGCTTCCAGGGAACGGCTGCAGGCTACTTTCCGACTGGGAGAGGTCTGGGAGGAAGAGGAGGGCTTACAGATCCAGAGGCTACCCAGCTGCTGACAGGTTTTCACTAACCCCTTGCAAACTGAGTGCCCGCTTCCCCAGACTCAGGCACCCCTGCCCATTCTGTCCCCTTTGCTGAGGCTGAACTTTCTCTTCCTTCCCCTTTCCTCAATGCTTGGGACCCTAATTTCATCTTTCCTAAACTCAGAGTAACGAGTGGGGAGCTGCAGCTGGGTGGGTCTGACCTCCATGTGTCGTTTTGTGATATCTGAATGAGTCACCAATATGCTAAAAGATGGAGATTTCATGGAAAATCTGGATTTCTGGCTTCACTTGAAAAATCAAATCTAGTGTAACCCTGGGCCTGCATTCTATATAGGTCCACATTTCTGCCTGGGCCTGTATTTCTGCATGGGCCTGCATTTCTACACGGGTCCGCATTTCTACCTGGGCCCATATTTCTGCATGGGTCTGAATTTCTCATGGGTCCTCATTTCTGCACGGATCTGTATTTTTGCACAGATCTGCATTTCTACACGGGTCCACATTTCTGCATGGCAGCAATCACTGGCACTGACCAGGAGTTTCTTCCTGCTTACCCCAGTCCCCTCTTCTGCCCAGCTGGTGGTGGCAGGTCTCTGAGCTGGCAGTCCTAGGACTCGAGGCTCCTCAAGCTCTGACATTTTAATATGCAGCCTGTGAGTCCCCGAGCCAGGGAGCAGCCTGCCAAGGTCCAAGACCGCACCTCTCACCCTATGAACTCCCCATGAGAACCAGAGACCTAACAGTTCCTGCAACAAGTGGCCTGTGCCTCATTCACAGGCAAAAAATCCATTGTGATTATATTCAAACCAGATGAAATTAATTATGTACTCAGGATATATTTGAGGTCAATCCCACGAAAAGTATATGAAACCAGGGCTTTATTTAGAATCCCAACAAAAGAACAAGAAAAAATAATCCCTCCCTATTCATAATCTCACATCTAATTTAGATATACTTTGGGCAGACCCTTTCAATTTATCACTGAGCCCAATAGGTGAAGGCTGAGGCTGCAGTGGCCATGAACATGCCACTGCACTCTAGCCTGGGTGACAGAGTGAGACTGTGACTCAAAAATTAATTAATTAACTCATTAATTAATTTTAAAAATGTGTATGAGCCCCCAAGGTTAAGGTCCGGTCACGTGACCCATAAGAAGCACAAAGGCAACAGCAGGGGGTACTTGCGACCTCTGGTGGCCATGGGGTGAATTCCAGATGGGGAGCTAAGCACCTACTGTGTGCAAGGCCCCTCCCAGCTGGGAACCTGGCGTGCTGAGGTGGAAAAGGTTAGATGACTGTCCCTGGAAACCCGGGACTTGGGAGGGAGAGAGGACCAGTCCAATCATATGAGGAAATAAGCCAGGAGAAGCAGAGGCTTTGGGGCCAGTGCCCAGGAGGAAGCTCCCTGCAGGTAGATGTCACCCTGAGCCACATCTCGAACTGGCATCACTGAGCGCCTCAACCTGCTGCCTTCTGATACCACTGGGAAGCCTGAGCGTCCAACAGATCAGAACAGAAGACTGCTGGGATGAGTGTCTGCAGCACCTGAGCACTTAGGCTGAGCCAGACGTGAAAATGAATTCAACTCCCTGGGCTCTAGGTGAAACATAAAAGGACACCAGCAAACAGAGCTCAAGGGGCTTACTGGGCATGGTGGTTCATGCTGTAATCCCAGCACTTTGGGAGGTTGAGGTAAGAGGATTGTCTGAGTCTAGGGATTCAAGACCATCCTGGGCAACTCGGCAAGATCTCATCTCTACAGTAAATTTAAAAAATTAGGCCAGGGCCGGGCTCGGTGGTTCAGTCTGTAATCCCGTGCCTTGGGAGGCTGAGGTGAGTGGATTGCCTGAGCCCGCAGGTTCGAGACCCGCCTGGGCAACTTGGTGAGACCTCATCTCTACAATAAATTAAAAAATCAGACAGGTGTGGTAGTGCGTGCCTGTAGTTCCAACTACTTGGAAGGCTGAGGCGGAAGGATCGCCAGAGCACAGCAGGTCGGGGCTGTGGTGACCGGGAGTGGCCACTGCACTCCAGTCTGGGCAACAGAGTGAGACTCCAACTCAAAAAAAAAAAAAAAAATTAGGCCAGGAACAGTGGCTAATTCCTCAAATCCAAGCACTTTGGGAGGCTGAGGTGAGAGGATTGCCTGAGCCCATGGGTTCAAGACCAACCTGGGAAAATCGGCAAGACCTCATCTCTACAATCAATCAAGGAAAATTAGCCAGACATGGTGACATATGCCTGCAGGTCCAGCTACTTGGAAGGCTGAGGCAGAAGGATCACCTGAGTCTAGCAGGTCGAGGCTGCGGTGACTGTGAGCGTGCCACTGCAGCCTGGGCAACAGAGTGAGACTCCAACTCAAAAAAAAAAAAAAAAATTAGCTGGGGGGTGGGTGGCACGCACCTGTGGTCCCAGCTACTTGGGATGCTGAGGCAACAGGATCACCTGAGCCCAGCAGATTGTGGCTGCAGTGGCTGTGAGCGTGCTACTGCACTCTAGCCTGGGCAACAGAGTGAGACCCCAACTCAAAACCAAAAAAGAGGTTGGGGGGATCTTTGGCTTGAACTGCCAGGCAGTTGGGAATTTTCCAGATGCCTGGGTCAAGTTCACTTCTACCAGCCCTTTCCCGGAGAGAAACTCCAGTGGTTTCACCTGTACCCTACTCTGCTGCCCAGCCAGGAGGAGGTTGATTGCTGTGGAGATTCCGGGTGTGGTATGCTCACCTGCCCTGTCTAGGATCTCATAATCCAAGTCCGCATCTTCCACCTTAGCTGGTGAGGGAGCTTCCAGGTATACCTCCAGGATTTCTGGGCAGCTGCTACAAAGCCCAAGAATAATCCAGGTCACGTCTGAGGCCTGCTGCCCCAAGCACTGGCCACCCCCCAGCACCTGCCAGCTCAGGGGCTGCCATGTCCAACACCCAGACAGCCCAAGGATTAGGATGGTGTCCCCATTGAACTTCCAGGAAGGACCCCAACACCTTGTATGCTCTACCTGAAAGACCAAGGTTCTTCCCTGAAGTCCTCAGCTGCCCGCTTGTACAGGGACTGCTGGCTGGGCGGTATGGGGCTGCTGGAGCGGAAGCTATCCACCAGCTCGCGACTGGACGTGGCACTCAGGTCCGACCAGAGCTGAGACTGGAGGAGGGTGGACAGAAGTTGGCGGGGGATGTGCAGGGACGAAACCCCTCCCCTGCTGTCCCTTGGTGTAGAGAGGGTGTCACTGCCTGAAGCAAGTGGAAAAGACAGTGTGAGGGGAAGAATGAGTACACACTGAGGTCACACTCACTGAGTGCCTGCTGTATGCCAGGCACTCTGTGAGTCACTTTCCTTGTACACATGGCTCAGTTCTCATGATAAATCTGCAGGGTAAGCGCTACTGTCCCCATTTTACACATCAAGCAACCAAGTCTAGAGAGGTTGATACTGGCTAGTGAGGGCTAGAGCCTGGTCCCCTGGGGAGGGAAGGAGGCATTCAGAGCACCTGCTGATGAGTGTGACACGCAGGAGGCAGAGGATACCAGGCGAGCAGTGTCCATCTGGATTCAGCCACTTGTTTCACTGAATAAGTATTCCTTGAGCATCGACTACATGCCAGGTCCCTTGACAGTGTTGGATGTACACCTGAGCAGAGGCACCATCCTTGGGGTGGGGAGACCAACGGGTAACTACAGACCAGGGAGCTGGAGCAAGTCATCTGGGGGTCTGGGGGTCTGGGCAATACTGGCAGGGAAGGGAGGCTAGGGCAGACTTCCTGGAGGAAGTGGCACAGATGGAGCGGGGCACATCTCAGACAGAGAGAGCAGCAGAGCAACTGCACCACAAAGATGCCTGGAAGCAGGAGAGTGGTTTCCCTAGAATGGCCTTTTATAAAGTCCAGGAGAGAGAGAGCAGGCTAGAGGGGAGCTGATCTGGATCAGTGGCCCATGAGGCAAGGTAGTGGGGACCACGCAGGCTGGTGAGGAGAGCTGCGGGGAGCGGGTTCTGAGCACTGAGATCCTCCCCACTTTCCCGCCACCACCGCCAGAGGAAACGCAGCTGGACTCTCTCCTGGGGGGAAAGGGCACTGAAGGGCTTTAAACTAACACACAGGCAGATGCGTGGCCCAATTCAGTTCAGTGTTTGGACTGCTCGGGCCGTCCTGCACAGGGTGTGAAACTTTCCCTTGTTTGTGTGTTTAGAGTTCTGGGAAGATGCCCAGCTTCCCCCAGCTATCTGAGAGATCAGCGGGTAGGATGAGGGACCATGGGGGGATGCTGCTGGAATTGTCCAAGAGGGAAATGCCAGGCCTGGCCCGACGCATGGCAAAGGGACACTGCCCTCACCCACCTCTCACCCTCCACCCTAGCTCTTGGCAGCCCTCTCCCCACCCTTTAGCATCCTGACGCCTCGCGGTCACTACAGCGAGACCACCTCTTTACTTTGCCAAAGGGAGAAGGCAGATGCCAGGGACCTGAGGATCCAGAAACCACTGCGAGTCCCCATCCTGGGAACCGTCCGTACAGGGTTGAATGGTGTCTCCCGAAAACTCATGTTCACCCACAATCTGTGAATGGAAACTTATTTGGAAATAGTGCAGATGTAATCAGGCTAAGATGAAGTTCTGCTGGATTGGGTGGGCCCCTAATGCCATAAGCCTGGTGTCCTTCTGAGAGCAGGGAGATTTGGTCACAGAGAACACTATGTGAAGACAGGCAAGGAGGGGAGTGCTGCAGACGTATGCCAAAGTGCCGAGGGTTGCCAGGAACCACCAGAAGCTGAGTGAGGCAGGGAAGGATCTCCCTAAAGCCTTTAGAGGGAACCTGGCCCTGCTGGCACCTTGACTTTGGACTTCTGGTCCCCAGACCTGTGAGATAATTCATTTCTGTTATTTAAAACTCTCACAGTCACACTAATCTCTTCCCCATGCCTTAATCCCAATAGAGGATGGAGCTGACCCTACCTCGGTGGAGCTGACAAGGCTGCAGTCGCTGCCGTTCCTGGGGCAGATGGCATGCATTCGCATGAGCCGCTGCTTCCCCCTCAGACAGGGTTCCCTGGCACCAGCTTCCTGCTTGGGCTGTCAAGACAGGCCAGACAGGCTCGTTAATTCAGGAAGGGTTCCCCTTGGGTGGCCACAGGGTTTCTACCAAGTCACCACCACCCAAAACCACCCTCCCAGGCAGCTTCCTCTCATCAGTTTCCAGGTAAAGCCCTCACGTCTCTGTCCTCCGAGTCTGGGACCACAGCACTACAGGAGCTGACAACCGAGACCAGGAGAGCCAGCTGGGTACACGGCATTTCATTTCTCTGAGAGAATATATGTTGTTATTTACTAGTTCTACAAATAATACCCCCTCCACACACATACATACACACACTCCATATAGAAAATTGAAGGGAACTAGAAGCAATTAGAGAAGAAAATAAAATTCGCCCATCGTCCTGCACTCAGAATGAGCACAGAGTTGGTTCCTATCCTTCCAGGGTTTTCTGTGTGTGTGTGTGTGTGTGTGTGTGTGTGTGTATGTGTTTTAGCATAGCTGTGAAGGGGCTGAGGGAGGCATGACTGGGCAGACCCTCCGTGGGGTGGGGAGGATCCCATCGTGTCTCCTGTCCTGGCCTGGGGCACCTTGTTTCTACCAGCCCACAGTGAGAGGGTCCAATTTGACTCTTGGGCATTGGGCTTTCAAACATGTCAGGAACACATGGGCTACACAAGAAAACGGCTGCCTGGAGACAGCGTCATACATCACTCTCTTCATCCATCACCACACTGGACAGGTTCCAGAACCTTCTGCAAAGCTCCCCTTCTATGACACGAGTGCCATTGTCACTGATGACGCTGATGCAGACTTGACTCACCCAGTCGTGGCCCTTCAAGGTTTCAGGACACCGCTCACGCATGGGAGCCAGTGGGCCACCGGCCCAGCCAAGTTCGGACATCACCGTGCCTAGGCCACCCCAGGTAGCCACCCTGGGGCCTGCCGCCATGGCCGTCACCAGCCTCCCACCCCTCCGTGGTGTGTCAGGGAGGACTCACCGCACCTGGCGGCTCTGCCTGCAGCTGGCGGAGCTGTGTGCGCAGCTCGAAGACCTGGTCCGTCAGCTCAAACACTTTCCTGCGGAGGGAGTCCTTCTCTGTGAGGCTCTGAGAAATCTCCCTCTGGGCGCTGTCCCTTGCAGAGTATGCCTGCGGGCCAACGGGGCACTCAGGAGGCTGCGCTACTGCCACAGGGCAGTCTCAGCTCGAGAAAGACAGCTCCGTTTCATGTCTGAGCTCATCCGACGTGTACTACACAGCTCACACCGATGTGCAAGCTCATGATTTGTTTCAACTCATGTCACATGTGCAGTTTTAATAAAACCCAATGCTGAATCAGGTGCACATTCTCAGTGTCTTGTGTCGGGGATAAGAGCAGGGAGGATGATGGAGAGACAGAGCGGCAGTGGACAACAGGGGTGGGGGAATGGAGAAACCTCGTGTGGACCAACGAAAGGGATTCTGAAATCTGGGACCAGCTGCCTTTAAGGTTGGAAACTGTGAGACTGTGTATGACCAGACCAGCCCTTGGTCTCATGCAGGGATACGAGTGTGGGACAGTGAGGTAGGGTTGGGACACGAGCGTGGGACAGTGAGGTAGGGTTGGAGGGGCTCCCACACCTCGACAGGCCCTCTTCCCTGTGCCCCTCACCCCTCTCCAGTTACCTGGTCGCGCTCCTTCTGCAGCTCAGACACTTGGCTCTGCAGGGCGTTGATCTTCTCCTTGTAGAGCTGGCAGTCCATCTTGGTCTTCTGGAACTGGAGCAGGGTCTGCTCCTTCTCTTCCCAGTACTGCACAGAGGGGGACACATGACCTGTGAGGGTCCTCAACTCTGAGGGCCTGGGCTGGAGTGTGGGGAGCCAAGGGGAAGCCTAAGCTGGTGGGGAGGTGGTTCTGGGGTGAAATAAGTGTACTCGTGCTCGCCTCTTAAGTGCTAGATTTTGAGGCATACTTAGAATGGCCATGTGGATTACACTTGAGTTTAGTCATCAAGATATGCATGTAACCGGGCATGGTGGCTCATGCCTATAATCCCAGCACTTTGGGAGGCCATGGTGAGTGGATGGCCTGAGCCCGCGGGTTGGACAAACCCAGGCAACTTGGTGAGACCTCATCTCTACAATAAAATTTTTAAAAATGCACATACATTGCACTCAAAGTTGCTTTGTTTACTTAATACTAAATAATACCTCTACCCTGCTCCATTCTCTTCCACCATCTCCCTTCTCCCTGTTCTCTCCTTGCCTTAATCTCTGGTTCTCACTGGGTTCCCAAGCATTGAAGCCACCTGCATTTTAATCACTTGTCTGCCTGACCATGACCTCTTGTCATGGGCTGTGAGTTGATACTCACTGTCACTGACAAAGGGATAGGTGAACAGACCAACAAATTCCTTAAACAAAATTATTTAAGCTCAGTGTCTTCCCCACAAATGCAGACCCTGCCCCTGGATTAGTATCAGGAGGGTCACGAGGGAGAAAGGGGCCGCCCAGTCACCTGTTTCCGCTGCCTCTCGGCGACCGCAGCCCGCTCCCTCAGTGAGTGGATTCGGTCCACCAGCTCCTGCGTGCTCTCTCGAGCCTCGTCCAGGTTCTGCTCCAGGATGTCCTTCTCCACCTGGTGCAGAGAGAGGTCAGTTCAGACACACCGATCGCCCCAAAGGACTGCCCCTGAGGAAGCAGAGTACTGAGGATACGATGGCAGGGAAGTCCAAAGTCATCCTTACAGGACAGATGTGGCCTTACTGTACACCAGGCAGGAAAAGAGCCATGGAAAAGCCAACAGTCATTTGGGAAAGAAGCATTTTGGTTCTCATTACACGTCGTCAGGGAGACAAAGTAATGGAAGTTGAAAACCCTAGGACAGTCAGGTGCGGTGGCTCATGCCTATAATCCTAGCACTTTGGGAGGCCGAGGTGAGAGGATTGCCTAAGTCTGAGCAGTTTGTTGAGACCTCGTCTCGACAATAAAACAAAAAATTAGCCAGGCATGATGGAGCCTGCCTGTAGTTCCAGCTATTTGGAAGACTGAGGAAGAAGGATCACCTGAGCCCAGCAGGTTGAGGCTGCAGTGGCCATGACACTGCACTCCAGCCTGGACGACAGAGTGAGACTCGAACTCAAAAAAAAAAAAAAAAAAAAGCAAAGAAAACCCTAGGACAGCAGTTCCTCCTTTTAGTCACTTCAGCTGTCTCTAGTTTCAAAGAAGGGGAAACCCCAAGGGACAGGTGGCTTCCCTTGGACATTCATTTCCCAGGAAGGCGCTTATGAACCACAGCACAATGCAAGCTGTGTGACAGACAGTGTCCTGTGCCCGGTGAATGTTTATGGAAGGAATACCTCAATCAATAGATACTAATCGAAAGGCAACAAAGGGAAGCAACGGGTTGGTATCATTCCAGGGCCTTGACATCACTTATTCCTCTGCCTCCCACAGTCCCCTGCCCTCCAAGGCACAAGAGGGTGGGACGGCAGGATGTTTCACAGGCAGGGAGGTTTCTTTCCCTGATCTTTTCTTTTTCTTTTTTTTTTTTTTTTTATTTTTGAATTGGTGTCCCACTCTTCTTGCCCAGGCTGGAATGCAGAGGCATGCTCATGGCCACCGCAGCCTCGGCCTGCTGGGCTAAGGCAATTCTTTTGTCTCAGCTTTCCAAGTAGCTGGAACTACAGACACATGCCACCACGCCCAGCTAGTTTTTGTGGTTTCTTTAATTGTAGAGACGGGGTCTCACCAAGTTGCCCAGTCTGGTCTTGAATCCCCAGGCTCAGGCAATCTTCTCACCTCGGCCTCTCAAAGTGCTAAAATTACAAGCTGAACCACCACACCCGGCCCCTTTCCCTGATTCTTTTTTTTTTTTTTTTTTTTGAGTTGGAATCTCACTCAGTCGCCCAGACTGGAGTGCAGTGGCCACTCCCGGCCACCCCAGCCTCGACCTGCTGGGTTCCGGTGATCCTTCCGCCTCAGCCTTCCAAGTAGCTGAACTACAGGCGTGCGCTACCACGCCCAGTTAATTTTTTTGATTTACTGTAGAGATAAGGTCTCGCCAAGTTGCCCAGGTGGGCCTCGAACCCGTGGGCTCAAGTAATTCACTCACCTCGGCCTCCCAAGGAACGGGATTACAGGCTGAGCCACCGAGCCCGGCTTCCCTGATTCTTAAAGTTAACTCCACATCCCAACCTTTATGATTAGTTCGGTCTACTCCAAAATAAGATTACAGAAATAAACCAGCCAAGTGGGGTATTTCAAGATAAGAGGTCCAGTCACCAAGGCTGGAATGCAGTGGTGTGTTACTACAGCCTCGAATTCCTGGGCTCAAGTGATCCTCCCACCTCAGTCTTCAAAATAGCTGGGGACTATGGGCAGATGCCACGTTGCCTGGCTAATTTTTTTATTTTTATTTTTTGTACAGATGGAGACACACTATGTTGCCTCCAGGCTGGTCTTGAACTCCTGGCCCAAGTGATCCTCCCATCTCCACCTCCTACGGTACTGGAGTTACAGATGTGAGCCACTATGCCCAGCCCGAGTGAGACATTCTAATGCACATCCAACTTTTAATCTGCCAACATTTGGAGGGCTGAAGAACAGCAGGAAGGAGGGAGGCAAAGAGAGAGTAGTTGGGATGAATCACTAAGTTTTATCTTTTTTTTTTTTTTGAGTCAGAGTCTCACTCTGTCGCCCAGACTGGAGTGCAGTGGCACACTCCCGGCCACTGCAGCCTCGACCTGCTGGGCTCCGGCGATCCTTCTTCTCAGCCTTCCAAGTAGCTGGAACTACAGGCACGTGCTACCATGCCTGGCTAATTTTTTTGGATTTATTGTAGAGATGAGGTCTCGCCAAGTTGCCTGGGCAGGTCTCGAACCCGCAGGCTCAGGCAATCCACTCCCTCGGCCTCCCAAAGTGCTGGGATTACAGGCTGAGCCACTGAGCCTGGCCACTAAGTTTTATCTTACTCCATCTTTAGCCTCATCTCAAAGAGACCACCTGTCAGTAACCACACGGCCTAGAGCCCACTGGCCGATGCTGAGGAGAGACCCAGCAGACGCCCAGGGTGCAGGGTCGCTCTGCTGCAGGGAACCGGAACCTACCAGGCTGAAAGTCAGCGAGCGGAGCTTCTCATTCTCCTCCTTGAGACGGTTCAGTTCCTCATCCCCAAACTCCAGGTCGCTGGCCATCTTCAGGGACCGCTCTTGAAATTCCAGCTCACAGGAGGAAACCATGTTCACTCGCTGCAATTCTTGCCTCACCAGATACAGCTGTCGGGGAGGAGGCGAGGGTGATGTAAACTGTTTCTCCACCAAACCAGGGCCAGGTGAATTTCTCAACCTTCCCCTTAATAACCATGCTTTCCATACTCAAGAAGTTTTCTTCCCTGAGACTGGAAAATCCATTCAAGGGTTTTACCTAATGAATAGTCCCCACTCCTCAGGGAAGGAGGAAGGCATTTTAGCTCTGCTTTATAGGTGAGGCACAGTGGTAGAGTATGGGCTGGGGACCCCAGGAAGAGACCAAGAGGCCCTGGCAACAGTTTCTCCTTCTCTATTGCTATACTGACTGATAGTCACCAGCAGTCAGTGAAGAATGGCCCGCATCCTTCCTGGCTTCTCAGCTTTTCATTATTCTGCTAAATCCGTCTGATAAAGGGAATTTGGATTCATGAATATTAGTAAGAAATAAGAATTTAAAAAGTCCAGGCGCTGTGGCTCACGCCTGTAATCCCAGCATTTTGGGAGGTCGAGGTGGGAAGAATGCTTGAGCCCAGGAGTTTGAGATCAGCCTGGGAAGCACAGCAAGACCTCATTTCTAGAAAGAAAGAAAGAAAGAAAAAAAAAAGCCGGGCATAGTGGTGTGTGTGTCTGTAGTCCCAGCTATGCTGGAGGCTGAAGCGGAAGGACTGCCCAAAGCCAGGAGGTCGAGGCTGTGGTGAGCTGTGATTGTGCCACTACACTCCAGCCTGGGTGACACAGTGACACCCTGACTCAAAAAAATAAGTCAATAAATAAAAGAATAGAGGAAAGTTAAGTCAGATAGTCTGCAGAGGTCTGGGAATATGGGGCCGGGACTATTCAGGCAGCAAAGCCACTGTGATGCTGTAATCTGTGTGCAGGGTCTGCCCGAGGGCTGATGTCCGGGCTCCTAGCCCTCTAGAAACGACAGGGCCAGGTCCTGCTGGCTTCTTTTCTCTGGGACCTTGAGTTAATGAGCCTGGCCTCTCCCCGTCTGAGTGTGGCAGGCCTGTGGCAAGGGGACATTCCCCATAAGCCAACTCCAGGAAGTCTGGGTGTCCGGATGGACTTGGGCACTCACTCCTGGGATGTGATCAGGCAGAGAAGGAAGGATTTTTCCACCTGGACTTTTCCCTCCCAACTCTCAGTGTTTCAACTCTCAACATTCTTCACTAGCAGTTACTGACTTCCTGCTGTGGGCCGACTGGGTTGGGCAGTCACAATACATATTTAAAAAGTAAAATGATGTCATGAAGAGAGGGGAAAACCTAGGGCTGAAAATAAACCCAAACAAATGAGCCCAATTCTATTTCAAACCCATAACCTCCATGGATGGGGGTGGCGGGGAGGACTATGATAACTGCTGAACACAGTATTTGATGACAAGCCCTCAGCCTTGAGCAAGACTGGGTGGGGTGTGAGTCACAAGCAAGTCAGGAAAACTCTTGTTAGTGGGTGTTCACGGCAGTGGTACGGGCGGAGCCATTCTGAACTATTTTAGATGCACTTCAGGATGGAGCAAGAGGTGAATGTACTGAGATGCTGGGAGCAGCGTTCCCCCTGGGGGAGGAGCACACGTGCACGGCCTGGGGAAGCCCATGAAAAGCCGCAGACACAGGTTGAAGTAAGGGGTATGGGTGCGAACTCTTGATTTCTGAAATAAGCACATGCACGCGTGTATGTTTACTTAGATGCATATGAAATATGTATACATGTGTACTTGTATTAGCATGTGTGCATGCATGAATGGGTATACATACTAGCATGTGTGTATATATGTGTACACATGCTAGTAATGTGTGTATATGTACATATGTGTGCACATGCTAGTAATATATATGTACGTATGTGTGTACACATAGTAGTGTGTGTGTGTACACATGGTAGTATGTGTGTATATGTGTACATATATTAGTATGTGTGTGTATACATGTATTTATAGACATGTGGGTTTGTACACTTTTTCCAGCTCTGTCCTCTGAAAGGGCCAAGGAGCAAAGACACTCCTGCAGCAACAGGCATACCTACTCCCAGATCTTGTTCCATGAAAGGAACCAGGGCTCTCAGAGACCCCAGAACTGAGGCAGGGTGGGTGTGAGACGATGCTGGGACATCTTGTGTAGACTGAAAGGAAGTCAGTGCTCTAAAAATGAGGGGGCACGTCCCAGGACAGGCTCTGTGTTGAAGGGCTCCCACAGGCCACATCTGGGACAATTGGAGCACTAGAACAATTAGTCAGTAATAGGTCACAGAGCCCTGGAGAATGGGAGCCCACGATCTATGCCAATCATAGATGCACCTGTGGGAGGGAGGGGGGCTGCTTGTCTCAGGCAGATGGCCACGGGCAGCCAGCAACAGTGGGAGCTGGAGCGTGGTCATTTACAGCCGCCCGGGTTGAGACGGCTTCCGGCGAGGGTCACCATAGCCACATCCGGGGAAAAGTTCAGGAGGAGCAGGTTGCTGGCCAGTCTCCAAGCACCACCTCCAACCCTAGATGCTTATCAGTTACAGGGAGGAAAAAGCAACAGCGATTCTGTGGTGGGGAAATTGGGCAGCTCTTGTCCCGTGGTAGACCCTTTGAGGGGCGGCAGGACCTCAGGGGTCCCAGAGGGGATGCCCTGAGTCAGGCCAGCATCCTCCATGTAGGGTCCTGGCCAAAGAGGCATGAACTCTGACTACTTGTGACACACCCCAGATGAGGGATGGCCTATCCTCAAAGGAGAGGGGTGTCTTCTTCAAAAACATCCATGCATAATGGACAAAGAAAGGCTAAAAGAATGTTCCGGACTGAAGGAGGCTAAAGAGACAGATCAACTAAATGCAGCACCTGACCCTGGACTGGAGAGGGGGATATATTGGGGTCAACTGATAAGATTTGAATTCAAGTTGTAGATCAGATAAGGGTAGTCCACCCATGAATGACTGGCATGAATGACTGTGCTGAGGTTATACAGGAGAATATCTTGTTTTTAGGAAATACACATGGAAGTGTTTGGGGGTAAAGGGCCATGATGTATGTATGTAGCAGCTCAGGAAAGATATGTGTGTGCACGTATGTGTGTGCGTGCGTGTGTGTGTAGAAGGACACAGAGAGATGGAGAAAGACAAAGGTAGAGACAGAGAGTAGAGGTACTAATGATAAAGTGAAGGTATGTGGGTATTCTTTATAGTTTTTGATTTGTGTACTTTTTAAAAATAAAGTTGAAATCATTTCTAAGTACAAAGTTAACTTTCAAAAATCAAAAGCAAACATGCCATAATTAAAGGCAAAAAACAAATGCCAAATTGAGTGAACATCCTTAATATGTAAAGAAACTTTACAAGTCAATAAGAAGATCATTATCCCCAACAGCAAAATGAGTACAAGGCATTGGGTTTGGAAGACATAACTCAGTAATCCTCCTGTCCCCATCTGAATCCAAAACCAGCTGAGAAGTACAAAGAGGGACAATAGAGATCAACTGTCCCCATGACACTGCCACAGCAGGGGCCTTGGGACATAGGCGGGTCTACTAGTACAGAGCCAGGAATATCCAGGCCTGCCCAGACATCAGAGGAGTAGGCTGGTCACAGACAGGTCAGTCAGGCCATAGGGGGCTAAGGGGCAAGGTACGCCTGGTCATGCCGGCTACACAGAGGAGCCCAGGTGGCCACCGTGGAAAGAGAGAGATCAGCTTCCTAGAGGGGCCTCAGTCCAGGATCTGCAGCAAGGGGGTGCTGGACCTGGAAGAGGGGAAGGGAGCAGAGAGCAGCAGAGACCTGCCAGGGTGAGGGGCACCCCCACCTCCTCCTGCAGGCCGTGGCAGCGGGTGGTGGCCAGCTCCTTCTCCTGCAGCGCGTTGCTGTAGTGAAGCGAGAGGCTGAGCATCTCGTCCTTTAGCCTCAGCACCTCGTGGAAGTGGGCGCTGACCTCGCGTTTCATGCGGCTGTGGTCGGCCTCCAGCTGGCCCAAACCCTCCGCTCGGGCCTCGGCCAGGCCCAGCCGCTCCCGCAGCTGCCGGCACCGCTGCAACAGCGCCTCCTTCTGGCCCTTCTCCTGACTCAGCTCCTCCTGCAGGCTGCCGATGGCCCCTGCCAGGCACTCAGTCAGCTTGGTTGTCTCCATGAGGCCTGCAGGCAGGTGGGCAGGTGGGTCGAGACACTGCCCCCACGCTTCTCCCCTCCCTCGCACCCTCCCCCAGACTCCCAAACAGGCCCCCAGTCCTAACCTGCTGGTCTCCTTGACAGTTTCCTGGCCTTAACGGGATTTGTTAATTTTGTCATTGTTGTTGCCATTGTTTTGAGTCAGGGTCTCACTGTCGCCCAGGCTGGAGTGCAGTGGCTTGCTCAGGGCTCACCACAGCCTCAAACTCCTGGGTTCAAGTAATCCTCCCACCTCAGCCTCCAGAGTAGCTGGGACTACAGGTATACACCACCATGCCCTGATAATTTTTTAAATTTTTTTTGTAGAGACAGGGTCTCGTTATGTTGCCCAGGCTTGGACTTGGTATTTTGGTTAAATGAACGGCATGACTCCTAATTTTGGCATAAGGATTACCCACTCTGGCCTTCCCCATGAGACCCAATGAGCCGCCTCATTAGCTGAGATGCGCTCACTGCTAATTCATTTTAATATCGTCCCAAGAAAAACATAACAAATATAAATCTGCATCATAGAACTCTAAATAACACAAATACGTACTTTATGGCCAAATAAAGCAGGAATAAAAATGGTTTATTACCCAAGGTTTTGAGTTATGTGGACCTTGCTCCTTTAATACTTAAATCTTTCAACAGCTCCCGCAGGGAAACCTAAAATTTCTCAGTTAATGAGAATGGCCTTATCTTCCACCAAGCAAGGATAAGCCTTTACTGAGACAGTGAGCAGATGCACAGATAGCTCTGCTTCCTTCTGTCCCCTCCTGAGAGCTGGAACTGGCGGCCCCGGCCTGGCTTCTCAACCAAAGCTGGTGAGGTGAAGGCAACTCCAGGAACATTCCCAGGAGAGACTTGCCTCTCCGAGTGCAGATTCTGCCCCCTCAAGGGTCTCCTCGTGATGCTGGATAATTAGGGATGGACCCTTAGAACCCAAGACTCAGGGGCTCCTTGACTTCCCCACCCTCAATACAGCGAGGGGCACTCCTCACCCTCAGATGTTGCGGGCAGGGACTTCAGCCTGCAGGGAGGAGGGAGACCAGCTGGAAGAGCACGCAGGTAGGCAGGACAACCCACTTGGGGCTACCAGGAGCCCAAAGCCCCTAGGAAGCTCCTGCCGACCCCCATCAAAGGCGGAGCGCTCACCACTGAAGTTGCTAAAGTCAACGTCGGGCTGCAACCCGGTGACCAGGGTATAGACGTCAGGGTTGTGGAACTTCAGGCTCTCCAGGAAGGCGATGGCCCCATTCTTGCCTCGAGTCTTCAGCAAATCCAGCAAGTGCCCTTGGGAGAGAGAACCGTCTTGTAGGGTGCTGGGCTCCCTGGGTGGCTTCCTGTTGGGAGCCGGCCACGGAGGCCCACTGTGTGTTAGGGATCAGGAAGGGCTGTAGACCCGGAGACCACTAGGATGTGTTTGGGAGCTGTTGACCCCATTCCCTCCCTCCTTTTCCATTTGGCACAAGCAACCAGGAAAGGCTCCTGCTGGCTCTGATAGAAAACTCTGAGACGGAAATGTACACAGCTAAACCTAGGAGTCTATTGTTCCCATTTTCCACAGTTTATGGTTTTTGCTTTTAAACAATTTAAGTTTAACTTTGAGTCACATTGAGGAGCCTTAATGCAGGCCACAGGTTCTCTTGATGTGATTTTAGAAACATATAGATATAGATTTTAGAAAATAGTTTATATAGATTAAGAAATATTAAGTAACCATTTTGTTATAGAAGTATGGTTAGTTCAGTTTGATTTAGGAGAGCCAGTGAAGTTTGAATTAGGCCAGCTTGTGCTAAGAGAGTGTAACCATAACAACAATTGTTTTAATAAAAACTAGTTTGAATTAGTACGGAATAGTAAAAGTTAATAATTTACTATGGTGGTTTCGGGTTTAGACATTGAGTGATATTAATTCAAGATGATGTAGTTGTAATACAATTAAGGGCACATAAAAAACTGGTTTGGGGACATTAAACTAACATAAGATACAAAAAGACAATTTGTGGTTGTTCTTCCTCATGTTCTTCCTTATGTATGAAAAAACATTTGCTTGAGAGTGGACGGTGTCCTTTATACACCTGGACCTGTTCGTGTGAAAGGCACATGCTACCTTTTATTTCCTGTGATGATGAATTTGCAGAGTTTGGGGATAAAAGCCCAGGAATAACATTCAATAAATGGCTTCTGGTCACTTAAACAGGAGTCCAGTCTCTTCCTTTCTCCTTTTATATCTATCCCTCCAGTTTTTTTGTTTTTTTTTGAGTTGGAATCTCACTCCGTCACCCAGACTGGAGTGCAGTGGCCGCTCCCAGCCACCGCAGCCTCGACCTGCTGGTCTCCGGAGATCCTTCCGCCTCACCCTTCCAAGTAGCTGGAACTACAGGTGCATGCTACCATGCCCGGCTAATTTTTGATTTGTTGTAGAGATGAGGTCTCGTCAAGTTGCCCAGGCGGGTCTCGAAACAGGCACTCCACTCAGGCAATCCACTCACCTCAGCCTCCCAAAGTGCTGGATTACAGGCAGAGCCACCGAGCCCAGCCTATCCCTCCAGTTTAATCACTGACGCTGTCACACCGCCAGAGACTCCTGATCCCTGCAGAGGCAGGACCCCCACAGCTTCCCCAGGAGAAGAGGAGCCTGGAAGTGGGGAAAACCTTGCACATCTAGGAATCAGGAGGTGAAAGTCATTTTCTGGGTTCTGTGAAGTACAACACGTCCTCACTTCTCCTGTAGGTTCCCTTGATTTACACAGCCTCAGTCAGACTAAAGCTGGTACTTAATGAGCAACTACTACAACCCAAGTGCTCTGTGGAGTCGAGGTACGGGTAAGGAAGATGGTCCCTGCTTGAAAGCATCTCCCCAGCAAGCTGGTGGATGGTGACAGACACATGGTCCCACTACAGTGCTGTCAGCCTCAGAAGTGTACATGGAAAGACACTAGAGATCCCCAGTTCCTTCTGAACCCAGGACCCAGATCCCGTCTCTCAGTTGGAATTACGAGCTTGAATTAACTTCTCCTGTATTTGGGGTTTGTATGTCAACATGCACAAACGTTATGATGTAGTAACCACCACTTCTTGCCTACTTTCTGGGGCCTGGGCTTGGCAAATATTTTATCAACAGTTACTCGTGGTTCATGACCCGACTGGGCAACTTGGCGAGACCTCATCTCTACAATAAATCAAAAATTAGTCGGGCATGGTAGTGCACGCCGGTAGTTCTAGCTACTTGGAAGGCTGAGGTGGAAGGATCACTGGAGCCCAGCAGGTTGAGGCTGCGGTGGC